GAAAAGTGTGAAAAGTAAGATAAAAAGAGCAAAAGGAAATTAAATAGTCCTGTCTCCAGAAGAGAATTGGAATTGAGAGTGAATGGTGGTATACCTGCTTTATTAATTGAGCTCTGAAACTTAGAAAGAAAATAAAACAAAACAGGGTATGATCCCTGTAACTAGACACTTTATCATACTGCACAAAAGGGGGGGGAATTAAGGTTAAAGGGGGGAATCGAAGGTTACACAGACAGCCTTAATATTAATGTTACTTAACTTTGAGCACGTGACCTAGCATCCCTAATACTATTTTAACATAATTTTTAATGTGTAACTTTATAAAGCTCCAGACAGTAGGTGTGCATGATGCTTTATAGGCATATAAAATTGTCTGATCCCTGCCCCTAGGAGCTTGCGTGATGACACCACACAAGGGATGGGAAAGGAGGGGGTATGGGAGGACAGGGTTGCAACACTGAGATCATGAGATGTACTTACTGCTACATAAGCAACATTTCAGCTTCTCTGTGGTTTTCTTGTTACTCATTTAACACTATATATTAAAATTTGGTGAACAGATACATAACACAAAGAAATCAACCGTAAGGAAGGATATGAAGAAAGAGAACTATGTAGTACAGTGTTCGGAGTCAGCAGTTAATATTAAAACATTCACAGCCAAGCATTGCATGAGGTCAATTATTTATATGGGGTTAGCCCTTGGCACCTCCAGCTGAGGCCTGGATTCTGCTCCACCAGGCACTGTACAAACACATCGTGAGATATGATAGCTGCGTTATGGTTTTTACAGTAAAAAAACAGTCAGTGGCTGAAGGGGATATCAGAGGTGGAGAGACAAAGATGGTTTAACAGGTTAGAGGCAGAGCCAAGGGTAGAACTACAGTGTTTTGACACTTGATTTGATATCCTATATGCTAATTAATATGTGTATTTGGACTAAGACTGCTTGAACAAGAATCCCAAACCAAACCAAAACAAACAAAACAAAAAAGAGCACACTGGCAAGTTGCTTCCACGTACTGGAAAACTAAACCACCGAGGAAAGACCCCAGCATGGAAACCCTGGAATCCAGGGACCTTCTTTTAGAAATTTGTTTCTGTGCTCTGGGAACTGAAAGAGATTTGAGCTCTGCTGGGGTTGTCATTTCTGTGTGTGCAAAGCCCGTGGTGTGTCCCATGTCTGATCTGACCATACTATTATGCTGCTATGTGCAGACAAACCTATTGCATGTTGAAGAGTACACCCTTAAACGCTCACAACTTCCCCTGACTTCAGCAGCAGATGAGGTGCAGACCCTGCTGTGATATTCTAATGCTATCAGGCATTTCATCTACACAGAGACCACCCAGGCCCGCCCAATAAACAATTCCAGAAACTCTAAGAAAAAAAGAATTTAAAAGTAAACATACAATTAACCGAAGTAAGCAACATGGCAAAATACTTAGCACAGGCTAAGCCTCTGGACCAAACCTAGGCAAGACTGTGGACTTTATTCTGCTCTTCATGGCAGTTCTTCACAGTGCATTTGCAAAATACCACTTGGACTTCCTTTACAGCCCTTCACACTCCAAATATGATTTGCTTCCACTTCAAGGGTACTTTTCACAACCCAGAGAGTACAAAATGATTTAGTATACAGCATTATAAATTCTTAGGAATTAGTTATTTCACTGGGTGAAAAGCCCAAGTTTTAGTCAGTTTTGCAATTTAAAATTACAAGCTAAATATTTCCATTATTTTTATTAACATTTTTTTTTTTCCCTAAGCCTCATCCAAATTAGTCACTAAATAAAATTTCTGGCTTCAATGGAGCTCCGGCTCAAGGAGGACTCCAATTCACCGCTGCTAACCACTGCTACTCTATAGTAGCAACACGTTCTTCCGATTTCTTTGTCCTTTTAGAATTGAGTTAGTACACAGACTAAAAGAAGATAGAAAGTAATGAATGAACTCCATGTAAAATTTTCCTTTAAGTTTTGTAGCTTAAGAAACATTTAAAACTCTGTATAGCTTGGTATCAATTATTCAAATGAACTGCACTTTGACTTGTCTGGGAATTTAGCAGGCTGGTTTGGTCCTGAAAGTAGCCCATTCATCATCACAAGAACTACGTACAATCTCAGAACTCCCAATAGATTTTATTAGTGGGGTGGCAGCTATTCTGACAGTGGAAGTTGAAACTGATGTTCTCCAAATTTGGCTATACTCAAAATTGTACTCAGAACTGATTTACATCCCACTAAAACAAGAATTTCATACAAATAGATTTAAAAAAAACCTCCTTATTTTTTTCCCTTCCCTCTACACTTAGGAAGTGGCTTTTGAAAAGTTAGGAAGTTGACCTCAAAAGGATTTAGATGAGCACAATTTTCAAAGCTGGTTTGTTTACAAACATAGGTTAGGAGTGGAATTGGATTTCCCTTCAAGTATTACTGGCACATTCAGAGCATAAAAGTTTAAAAGATATTACTATCAGCATCGCTGCTATGACAATCTAAGTGGTTGCTGACATAAATAAACCACAAACGTTAAGTTTATGCTATACCCTGAAGCTGATCTGAAGCGATTTTGCTGCTCCAGAGCCTAAAACATAAATAGAATTTACAAAAAAATAATCACAGTCCCCCAAAAAACAATAACTGTCTCCTATTTCAGCCTAAACCCACTCTTTTAAGATTATGGACATATTAGATAAATACTGAATATTTAGCATGATAAAATCACAGAAAAGATTAAATTTGAAGTCTAGCTCAACATCCTGCTCCAAGTAGGGATAATTTCAAAGCCAGACCAGGCTGCCCAAGGCTTTGTCTGGCTGAGTTCTAAGAAACATCCATGCATGGAGATTCCTCAATCTCTCTGGGCAACTTCTTCCACTGCTTAACTGCTCCTGTTTTGAGGAATTTCCTCCTTGTATTCAATTTTTATTTCCTTTACAGCAGCTAGTGACAGGTACCTCTTGTCCTTTCACTGTGTATCCCCGAGAAGCCTCATAGTCCTCCTTTTATTGAGGGAAAGACTGCAATCAGGCCCCCCCTTACCCACATAGCTTTTGCAAGGTGAACAACCCAGCTGCCTCCCCTCCCCCTCATACCTCTTGTGCTCTAGTGCCCCAGCCCTCTCAGAGGCTCTCCTCTGGACTCTGTCCAGTTTGCCAATCTCTCTCTTGAACTGGGGCCCCAAGATTGGACATGGTACTACAGCACTGGCCTCACAGCACCTAAGCAAGGGGGAGTACTCACCTCCCTGATTGAGATGGGCAGTATACCACACTATCCTTCCAGCCTCTACTCCTTTGGCTCAGTGAGATCCCTGAGCAACAGTCCTCCTGGCCAGCTCATGAAATGTCCCATTGTCTCTTCTATGTTTTTTTTTTACTAAAAATTGTGTGTGTTTGTGCGGCAAAGGTAGATCTCAATGCAATGTACAGAATATATACTTTTGGCTGAAGTGAAACACGGGTAGAATACTGTCTTCCAAGAGGGAGTGTGCCACATAATGACCTGTGGTCAATCTTTTATTTGACGAAAAATACAAAAATCCAAAATATTTTTCGTTGATCAGTATTGTTCTTACAGGGCCTTGCTCTGATGCCTTTGCTCAAAATTATGGTAACTTCTTTCCCCTCAATGTGCAAATGTGTTTTCCTAACCAGTTTACATGGTGAATTTTGAGGAAAGTTGTGATTGCTTAGTTATGTTACAAGGCCCAATCTAAGCCTACCGAAATTAATGGATTGCTTTTTTGGATCAGGTCCGGAATGTTAATTGCAGTTACTACACTAGCCTATCCAATCCTCCAAACAGAGACTGCATCAGGACCTAAGAAACTGTAAAAGGACAAATCACGAGAAAAATGTATTGTTGAGCAAGTATCTAGGTGAGGCTTGACCTGGTCCCCATTGATATGGATGGACAGAGAAAAGTCCTGACATCATTCCAATAGGTTTAATACTGACTTTGGCCTAATTTATCCCTAATTTATCACCCACTGCTTGATCCAAGATGTTCTCTCTCAGAAATGCGTGGAAGGAAATAACTAGGTCACGATACATGCTCTTATGAAGGGGCTACAGATTAGCAGCTGAATGGAGAGACCAGAAAGCACAGACTTTGTGTCAACTGAGAATTCAGAGGAATTTCTGGCCCATGTCCCATGACTTTACAGCATCACACAGAGTGGATCCCTGTCAGCATTACCAGGCCACCCTCCTTGCTGGAGGCACAGCTTCCTATTTGGCCAGTTCGTATTTCCAAAGTCCTATAAATTTTGGGTTCCCTTTGCAGCCCTGCCACCAACTATGTGAGTTTTGGCAAACAAACAGTGTCAGAGTCACTCGTGCTGAAGGCAGTTTCTAGTTAAATTCCAGGTTCTCGCATTTTCTTGCAAAAACTGCAGGAAAATGTTCGTTTATTAAAATCAAACAAACAAACAAAAACAACAAAAAAAAGGAAATATGCCAAACGCCCGCCCCCCAAGGTATAACACCAGTGGAGATTAGCATTAGGTGAACATATATATGCATGCACACACCCACAAACCAATCCCCAGCATTCACTGAATACAATCCTTTTCCACCTGGCTTTCGGTGGATTGAATTTTTCCCATTTTATGAATTTTCCATTTTATGACCTGCATGTCATTTATCTAGATCAGTATACAGTAACAATTTAAGCACTTCATATGCTATCAGAACTACAAAATAAACCAAACTCTACCAAAATTATTTCAGACTTCTTGGAGAAATCAACTCCGGAGGGCAGCGGTCTTTTGCAAGAAATGTAACTACAAGTTCAAACAGACAAGTGACCTTTGCCTGTTGCTACAAGTATGCCACTGGAGGGGATCTGGCAGTGAGCTTTTCACTGGGAGGAGTCACTTGGCATTGGTACTGGTTTATGAAAGAGCAGAAGAAAGTAGAAGTTTTCTTAAATGATTCCCTACAAGGAGGACATGCAATATATTTCCCGAGAGCTGACTGCAAATAAATTTTTACCTCTGTGGAGCACCGTCAGATCCCACGATATCGCAGTAGGTGTTCTTTACAGGGCATGTCTCTGTGCCATACATTGCATCTGCCTCAGCTGAGTCCATGTAGCCATTGACCAGCTTGATGTCTCTCAACTTCATACTGTCATTTTGCGAATCCAAAGATACAATGTCAGACGGGGAGCTCACAACACCCGAGTCTTCCGTGGTGCCCTCAGATGCAAAACAGCTGCTTTCTGATGCTGTTTCTTCCACCTCTGATAGCTCCAGAACCGTGTCATCCACTACATAAACACTATCATGTGCAGGTCGCAGGCTCTCTAAATGAAACATAGCAAGGAAAGTTAGCTGAAAGTCATCAGTACATAAATCAAACACAGAGCTGGAAAAAACACATTAAATACGTTAGAAATAATAGGATGGAGCTCCATATTTATATATAGAATAAAGATGATTTGAAAAGCAACAAGAATTTTGTTCTTTGCTTCTACAAAGGCGGTTTGCTATGTCTGCCCTGCGGAATCAGGTTCCTCACTTTTACAAAGAAAAAACCTTCCAAGGGACAGTTTCTTGGGGAATTAGATCAACGTTTAAATGCTGTGGTGCAAGAAATCACTCCTGTTATTGCTTCTGACAACATAATCTCATTATTCCTCTTCCATGCTGCCAAATGAATCATGACATTTCCAATACGAAGTCTATACATGGTAAAAATGGGCAGCATTTCCCAGTCAGCACACTGAATTGGTAAACTAGATCTACTGCTGGGTGTCACTTTTTTAACCACCTTTCAATTTCCTATGCGTTAAGTGGGAGAGTAACAGTTGTTTCTTTTTCAAAGCATACAAAACCTACTAATAAGTCAACAGAAAAGCAGATGCTACCATGCTTAAAGCAGAACCTTTTCTAACATTTAGTCATTTATAAAGGAGATCAAGGGATATGCTCTTTGCATGTTTAACTCTATAAAAAGTTGCAAATTTTGAGAGAAGATTAGACACATTTTTTGTACTCTGCTTTAGTTTGGTTCCTATGAGCTATCTGGTTTTCGTTTGCTCTGGGTGTTGGTTTTTTTTTTGGTGAAAAATACAATTTTATTTCCCTTAAGAAATGTACAACTCTAGACTCCATCCTGCAATTACGCCACTACAGAAGAACTCCCAACAAGTCAATAATTTCAATGACTGAAACTGAGTGACTAAAGACAGAATCAAGCCCAAACACACTTCCTTTGATTAAAAGGAATCAATAAAGACTAATCTAAATGTTTAATTTGGAATTATAAGTGTGCTCCACTCTCTTCTTCAACCTCAGTAAGCAAAAGGAAGATGAAACAATAGTTTACGGTCTGATCCTGCAGACACTTGTGGTGGATGTTAATTACATGAGAAGTCTCAGGTCTACAAGCACGACTAAGATTAAATACACACTTCACTGGTTTTTAGGGTCAGAATCTACAACTTTCTGAAGCATGCATGAAGCTACAGCTCAATAAAAATTATCAACTGAGAGAAAAAATTCTGTATTACGTTGTATACACAGAAGTATTTTCTTTAAGTCAGAGAACTGAAAACAACTTTGTAAAAAATGTCATAGAAATAATTTTGTAAGGGTGTAGCTGAGCAGTGAAGCTTTGAGTAAAACTAAAATAAAATTCAAACCAATATTCTCCTTGATTGAGATTACAAGATGCCATTAAGTAGTGAAATTGATTTCTGACAGGAGAAGCAATAAAATTCACAGGGTAACAAATCATGATTAAAGTTTTAAGTGCTGTCAAGCATTGATATTAATGATGGAAGATGATCCAACTCTGTTGCGACTTTGGAAGGAATGTTACTTGATTTCTTTGACCTTATTTTCTATAACATTAGCTCTAGGTTCCAGATTTAATCGAAGAGATTGTTCCATCTAAAATTGGCAATTACAGGAACTAAGTGTGTGCCACTGAATGGATTAGAGTATGCTCATGACAGAACTACAGTTAGGAAAAAATTGACATGAAGGAGAAATATTAATAATATGACATTAAACACCAAATACTAAAACCCCACAAAAACAGACAGCAAACAAACAGGTAGGAGTATATGGCCTGCTTGGCTTTCAAACAAACAAACAAAATCCCCAGTAACAACCCACCACCAAAGCATTAGTAAAAACTACAATATATTAAAACCAGAACAAAGTAGGACAGCAAAGAAATCAACTTAAAGAGTGGAAATTGAAGAGTGGAAGCATGTGGGAAGATTTTGAAGTAATGCACAATGCAGTATATCTTGATGTAAAGAGACCTCTACATATATAACACAGGCCACATCTGTTGTCACCAGGATGCCATAAATGACCTCCACCCTACAGCTCGCACAGCAACTGACAACCAAGAACTTACTTCCAGTTCGTGACGTAAGGATGTCAGGCTTTTCCTCCCTAGCTGTCTCTCTCATTTCCTCATCCTCTTCTTACCTGCCTGCAACTATCTCCTGCCTCTTTCTGCTCAGGGATTCAGATCCTTTTGGTCACACAGCCCTACCCACTGTAGTAACAACAGTTGAGTCTCCCCGTGATGTGATTCAGCAAGGTGCTCTACGCAGGATCTCCATCCCCCAGCCCATTCTTCCCACACATTGACAAACAAAATGAAAACCAATTCTCTTATTATCAGGGACCATGTGCAAATCAATCCCTATCTGTTACATCAGGATCTCAGCAGCTGAATCATCCAGTCCAGCGTAAAAACCTCCTCATTAAACAGCAGTTTTATCCTAAAGCATGGAACTACAGAAAGGCGTCTTTCTATTCAACGATTAAATTCCCTGTGCTCATGCAAAACTAAAATGTCCCACTTTCTTCAAGCCTATCAGTTTGCCAAAGCACGTCCCTAATCTTTTATCTTCACCATTAATTTTTAACACAGTTAACACATGGCACTGAAAGGAGTTGCTGGCTGAGGCAAACCGTTTTGATTGCCACTACTACTTGTCTGAACATGAAGCACACACATAAAACACGACTGCTACAGTTCTGTGTCATGTTAACAACCTTGTTTCAGCTAAGAGCAGCAATAAACAGCCCTGTTTTAAAGTTTAGCCATCCTTGGAAGGATTAAGTAAGAATGTATTCCTCCTTCTATACGCTTGATTAAGTCTCCACTGGTGCAAACTGAAGATAGATGGGCATTACCGAGTAATGATACATGACATGAAAAAAGCCTTCCTTGACTTCACTGAGTTGTCTTGAACCCCCGAGTTGGAAAATACCTTTTAAAACTTTCTCATTCTACTAGGTAACCCGCAGTGGTAGATGTGATTTTGCCTTGTGATTTTTGCCTACTCTTTTCTCAGACGGAGTGCACATGCAGAAAACCACCACGTACTAAGCACAGTGTGATCATAACGATGGCAGCTACTGAGGTTATTTGCTGGTCAAATATAGAAAATTCTCAACATTTGTTTCTCTCTCCTCTGTCATGACACTAAGATTTCAATACGGGCTCTGATCTTCAAGACCTCATGTAGACGTATCCAGGTTAAAAGACAGAATATTCAGCAAGTACTTCAGGATTGGACACACAAATAACAATTGCCACAGATAACAGATGACTGAAACAATGCTGTACCTCAGAAGACTGTCTGCGTTTCCAAATATGTAACAATGCCAAGATCTTTTTTTCAGTAACATGTGACCCCATTCACAGGCTTCAGGTGGGGTGTGATACTGAAAGGGGTGTAGAACCTGGCCCGCGATTTCCAGGTCATACGTGGGGAAATCTCCATGGGACATCTCACCCACAAGTGGGGAAATTTCCGTGGGACATCTCACCCACAAGTGTCCCTCGATGCCCTGCGTTGCCGCTTACCTACGTCCTGCTCGAGGCTGTGGACTGTGCAAAGCCCAGGCGAGTGCCATACTAGGGATCTCCCCTGCTTAGCAGCAGCAGCGCTGTCGCTGCACAATTAGGTCAACCACAAGTTACAAAGGCTTTCTTGCAGGGGGGGACGGGCCTGGGGCGGGACGGGGACTGGGACGTCTGTTTGCAAGAATGCTGCCCGTGATCATCAAGAGTGAAAGAGGAGAGTAGCTCATCAGTAAAGAATGTGAGCTTCTTGTTTAACACAAAAGAGATCTTGTTGCTTTAATCTCAATAGGCTGTAAGTAATTAGGAAAACACTGAACTCCGAGTTTAGAGGAGTCATATCTGCACTGGTGCAGTTTGATATCGCATATACGTACACATTACTCATACAGAATGCCAATGATGGGGAGACAGATAAACCTCACCTGGTTTAAATGCTAATCAGCACTTTCAGAAGTGAAGCTTTAATTCGATAGGTGAAGACTACTATGGGTAAAATACACACTTCGATTACTACTATGAAAATAACTACTATGAAAATAACCACCACCAAATTTGAATGACATTAGCATCAGACCCAAGCGTTCAAAAGAGGCATATTCTACCCAGACTTACAAAATCAGTCACCAAAGCCCAAGCCATCACTGAGTCCAATGGGCACAGGGCATAAGTCTGTTAGACTGCAACTCTTTGCTAAGTGCTGTGACCTTCTGGTTTTACAGCACTGCTGGTGGTTTACTGTCACATTCAGTAACGTCAGAAACAGTATATCCAAAAGCATTTTTAAAGAGTTAACAGTTGATTTAACCCCTACAAGGTGAATAACCTGAACTTTGTAATGGTTTTAGAGGTGTAGAACTCCTCTAACTCCTCTGAGTTCTTGCTAAGAGGTTGGTAATTGTTTCCGAATTTCTTTCATCACTTGTTCCCGTTGCCAAAAAACTTTCTTTTCATGGACCAAAATTGCTTTGCTGTAGTTCAAATGATCTATTACAATGAACTTGTAAAAAGTATTACAAACTTCATGATGTTAAAGAATATTAATTCTTATAATGATCCCCAAATTACAACATAATTATTTCACTGACAGTACTTAAAACTTCTAGCAAAAGAAAGAAACACTGCTCTAATTCTTTGTACTGGCAGTAAAAAAGCTAGAGCATCACAAAAGACCAGTATTAAAGAAGTGTACATTTTTCCATACACTTGGAAGAAGGCTGTTGGAAGAAATGGGAAAAGAAAACATTTATTATATCAATGATTAACAGAGATTATGAAAATGGACAACACAGGATTATCTTAAAAGTTTTCACACAGGTACAATGCGTTCTGGTTACATTTTACTCATTTTGCTCATTAAACAAAAACTTGTACGTTGAGATAGGTGTTAAAAACCACTCAGTGAGCAGTTAAAGCAGAAGACAGAACGGGTGGACTTCTCTCTATTTATCGCAATCAAGACTGTTC